ATTTACGTTTTTCGGTTGTAGATGTTAAGGACTCGGTTTTATGGACTCGATTTTACCTTTAGTTGTAAGTTACAGTATATGAATTATGTGGTTTCTGGAAAGAGTGGTTTATCCTATTTGGAATTCATTGGTTGAATGCTTGTGTCCTTAATCAAATTGAAACTCATCACCTTTTGTTCCAGACACTTACAAATCACCTACTGAGTTAGTGATGATGGTGCCGCTTCTAAATAGCTATTGTTGAATATTTTAGTAGATAGCCCTCCAAATTTGAGTCAAATGCTACTCTAAATGATAGATGAAACAATTCAACAATGTTGTCGAAAAACTTTAAACTTGTTACAATATTTAAATTTAAAATCTAATTTCTTTTTCATTCAGTAAATATTTTTACTATACAACTGAAAATACACTCTTCAAAGAAAATGTCTCTGAATAGACGAGAAAGTGCAACAAAGTATAAATTGATCTAAATATAAACTCATCAAAATCATTAGTAGCTAGTTGTAGAAGTAACTTATATTCAATTAACAGGCAAAGCATATGGACACTTTTCATTAAGTAAAGCCAGTCAGTTGTATGTTCCAGATTGCTACTGTTTTCACTGATTTACACTGAATCGATTTCGATTTGATCAGTCGAGTGCTACTTACTGAACAATGAAAGATTGAAGCTTTCTATTGATAGAGCAATAATTATGGTTGTTTATATTTGCTCAGTATGATTAGTCTCAGCCAATTTTTCATTTTCTTTTATTCTGGAAAATATATTTCAACTGAAATAAGATTTTTGTATGAATATTAGTCGTTTAATTTCAATGGACTAAGTTAACTAGTATAAATCTTATATGATAAGTTAACATAATTGATTTTAGTTAACTACATAAACTTCTTATAATCCCTGGACATGATTTTGACAAAAAAAATTGTTCTTAACTAACAGTATTTATAGTTTGAATACAGTGATTCTAACCGGTTGCTAAAATTTCTTAATCGCAATTATTTACATCGAACAATATTGAGAAATTTAAAAAGTATTAAAAATGGAAATGACAGAAAGGATGAATCTCAAGAACAAAGTAGTTTTAAAAGTTAATTAAAAAATTACTTAGAAGAATCATGTGAAATCGAAAGACAAAGTAAACTTTAGAATGAATGAAAGATCATTTAGTTAAACAAAATTAAGTTGTGAATATTCTTGATTTTGGGGCTTAGAGTTTTGTGATGTTATACATTTATTGTCAAATCATTTGTTATATTGTAATGCGTTGCTACGAATTTACGGATGAAGGAAAGGAGTGTTTGATCAGGAGGTATGAAGCGATCAGAGTGTTTTGAAGAACAGAAAATATGTAAAATAAAAGGACAAGAATACGCTTCTTTTGCAAATAAATTTTTCATAATAAGGTATACACAGTTTGGCTTACAAACTATTTGGTGATAGTTAAAGTCTTTTTCATAAGGTATTTTTGAGCATTTTAGGGTCGAATGATGATAAAGTAAGATGCATGATTTGTCATCTATGGTTTTGGTATGAAATATGCGCTAACAGATGGCCATAAATTATTTCATGCAGAATTGTGATTGAAACACTTATGCCGGTGAGAAACTTTCTAGCACTGTCCAAAGAGTTATATTTGCACTACACACAACTTACTCTAAATTATGACACTCATATACTTAGTACATTTACGATGCTACTCTACTGAAATGTTATAAAGTTTAAAATGAATGTATATAGTGTGCATTTAAAAAAACTAGTAAATTATTGTTGTGGTATTTCGTTCTCTGAACTGTAAGTTTTAGTAATGGAGCTCCACCAAAAACACCACCACAATCATCCACTTGAGCTACAAATTTTCTCTACCTTCTCAAGTAAATTATTCTGGATGACATCCTTTGTTCTTTATCCGTTTCAAATTTAATGTTCAACAAATAAAAGAATATATTTTGTGCCTGGAAATCAATGTTTAATAAACTAGAATTCGATTTTGGAACATACATCTTGTGGCATGAATTGTGATACCTTCCGTGAAAAAAGACACATAACCAAAGTGTTGATGAACGAAACGCACTGGAACATTTGTAGCAACAACAAAATTACCCTAAGTAAGCTTTAATGCGTATGATTTGTTACTTAGAAGGGGACTTACTATTATTCGATGTCAACGTAAGTTTATTAAAATGCAGTTTTCTTCATCAGAAAATTATAGATAGATATCAATAAAACAGAAGTTTAACTGTATTTCTACAAACAAATGGTTTTGCTTGTCCCTAATTGTACTGATTAACTTCTTGTAATTACAATGTAAATTAATCTTCTACCTTTAATGATATAGTTATTGTCTTTATTATTATTATTATTATTATTATTATTATTATTAAATGTTCCAAATAGTTTACCATTTACAATAAACATTGTGTTTTGTTTAAACTCATCAGATTACCTATTATACAGTAGATTATAACATGGACAGATTGAATTCATTTTATTGTAATAAACAAATCTTCCAATAAAAAAATAAAAAACCATTCAGGCCACACACACAGATATGAAATTTCTCCTTGTTTTACATAAATGTTCCAGTTAGTCTGAACAATTCTAACTAACTGAATATTTATTATGTCTGTGACAAAAATTAAATACAAATAATAATCATCTTATTAGTATTCATATAATTAATCCTCATAACAAGCTTTTAATATTGTTATGATTGTTCTTGAATTATTTGATTTCCTTTTTTTCAAATTATTTATTAGCACATAAATAAATAAAAAAAACACACATACTGAGCATCATCAATAAACAAAATTACTAATTACAGATTCTACAAAGTATGTATAATTTAAAAATAAGAGTATCTATTGACAAAATGATAATAGGACAATTGTACTAAAACATCTTGAGATGATTTTCAATGTGTGCGGTTCTCTGTGATTAATTATGTCGATATAGGCTTGTTTACTGTGGGTATGCGCGTACAACAACACTTCTAAGTTGTTATTATTGAAAATAAAGTGAGATTTTATTATAGTGTACATTTAAAACTAACATTAACTGACACAATGAAAATGAATCTTATTAATTAAGTAAATCCTACACTCTACTCATTAAATCTGTTGTATACACATCACAAGTTCATCATTTCATGTTGCGTATAGAACAATGTATTTTATCATGAAAACATTATGGTAATACAAATGCTGCTGTCTTAGTGAAAAGTATACCAAAAGAATATTTTATCATCAAAATAAGTAGAAATAATATCATCGCAATGTTGAACAGACTTGACACCCGAGGTCGGAAATTGTGTATTGGATGACCTAACTGAAAACAGTAAGATGATAAACAAGAATTCATTTAATCGCCAAAACAAATCAAAATAGTAAATCAGCAAACTACATTTTGTATGATATCTTTGCAGTCAGGTTTGTATAAATTAAAGTGAGTAATACTTAGCACTAATTAATCAATAACCTACGTTTACAATATAATGTAACGAAGTATCTGTGACCAATAGATACAGCTTATGTTATGTTATGTGCTTACCCGTTCTTACAATGTGATCACTGTTCATAGAAGATTAAAATGAAATCAATTTCATAGCTCTTTCTAAGTCAAATTGAGGTCGAAAAGTGGATAAATCAATAATTTCATGAGTTTAATCCCAAAAGACGATTGTTTAATGATGCAGTCGGTTAATTATTTGACTAGTATAAGAAATTGTGTAGATAGATGTATTACGCTATATCAAGAAAGTATTAAATCACACAATTTCATACATATTATAGCTGGGAGTATGACAAATCAGAAGTCTGCTAAACTAATAATCTTGCTTTGTTGTCTTCCACAGTCCAAGCAAACTATCCAGTTGATAATTATATTACTTATCATAATTAATTATTATTGAGTTAGATAAAATTTTCAGTTCACATTAAATTTTTATTACTCCCTAGATTAAAATAAATATTTTATTTCTCAATTACTTATGAATGATTTATTTATTGAGTTACTGCGTTACATGTCATAATGTATTCTTATTATGCTATCAAAAATGCATAAATCAATGAATAATTCCTTGATAAATTGTCTTTACTTAAATTCTTCTAAGCATTCACTTATGTCATGTTGGTGAGCTTACGTTAACTAGAGGGAATGAACTGATTTCTATGAATCAAAGTATTATTTTAGATGGTCTGTATCAATTTTTTCATCGACAGACTAAAAATCGTAGCGAACTCCCCACCTCCAACTTAGATAATAATAGTAGTAATGATAATATTCTTGCGAATAACTGACTTCGAGATGAATACTAATCAGAAACTGTTAAACGTTAATTTCAGCTATTTTCAATGGATCTATGCAAGAGTGTTAAACGTAGAATCTGAAAAACTAGGATTCAATTCCACATTGAGTTGTGGGAAGCGCATTGTTGGTAAATGGGCGTTACCAGTCCACAGAATTCTATTCTAAACAACTTCCAAACGTAGTAAAACATAGTTTTATGAATGTTTCGAGTGTATCATATACTTCAATCGTTCCTTAGAATATACCTATTCAACTTGAAAAAGTCTTTCCAAATAATCCCATCTTCGGATAAAAAGTTTGAAATATGGTTTTCCTTCAAAAATTCATTATAAAATGACAGTCTTCTGATATTTTAAATACCCAGTAAATTAAACATTAAATTTAATCGTTCTTGGTTAATATATGTCATTTCAATGATGATAAATTTTCAGTAACTCAACTTTTGAAACTTCTGACTAAAAGTCCATCTTATTTGTTAGAATGGTTGTGATTTATTTGTGACTAACACTTTAAAGCAACTGTAACTTGATTAACTCTGTGGCTTATCGTTCATCAGATATTTAAGGCAGTCCTCTGATTGGTTAAAAATAAGTATTGACCACTCTCAAGATGAACCAATCACTTTTCAAGGTTACATAGTGGTAGAGTACACCCTAAGCGTCAAAGTACCATTGGTTTAAATTAGTTCGAATAAATGATAGTTGGATGAAATTGTTTTTTGTTCACATTTTATGACACTAAATTTTACAGTTTAACTACCATCAGTATGGAGATTAAAATGAGTTATCCATTTAGTAGTAATGACTGAAACAACTCGGAAAATTGTTGTTGTTGGAGATGGAATGGTTGGAAAAACTGCCTTGTTATCAGCATTTGTCAATGGTGCATTTCAGGACTGCTATATTCCGACAGTATTTGAAACATCAGCCAAAGAAATTGATTTGCCAGATGGTCGTCATCTAACTTTGGGTTTATGGGATACTGGAGGTCAAGAAGAATTCGACCAAATTCGTCAACTTGCATATCCTGGTGCAAGTTTAATTCTACTTTGTTACGCGGTCGATTGTCCAACCAGTTTAGAAAATATTGTACACACATGGCTAGACGAAGTGAGATGTTACTGTCCTCAAATACCACTCATACTAGTCGGATGTAAAGCTGATAAACGTGTGGTCATTTCACCAGGAAAATCAAATAATTTAACTCTGAATAAATCACAGACAACTTTGATCGATCCGAATGATGTAGAGAAGGTTGGTAAACAAATTGGTGCTCAAATTGTCATTGAATGTTCCGCCTTGACAAGATCAAATGTCAATTGTATATTTGAATTAGCTGCACGCATAATATTAGATGTAGAAAAAGAAAATTTACGAGCATCAAAATTCTGTAATATACTTCCAATTCATAGGAAAAAATCAATTTCGAATGGTGTAGTAACTCGGAACTCAGTTATAACACGTCGAAGCTCTGAACTGAAACGACGTATTTCCAGTTCGAATTATTTTTGTTTTTTAAGGAGACGGTGATTGATTTCTTACATGGGATGACGCATCAGTAGTAGGATTAAAGAACAATATGATATTGCATATTAAGAAGTCGTTTCCTCTCCTCGTTTCGAAATATGGGTGTATATGCATGCTTCCATCAAATCCAAATAAATTTCATTTTTCCTCAAATGAACAACCAATGTCTTTCATAAGTTGATATTAAAGGAGGTTTTAATGTATATCCGAAATATTAATCATGATAAATGAATATCAACACGTAAAAAGACCGGTGATAACGACGATTCAATTTCATTTGTGTACTCCTATGAATCTAACGTATGTAAACCAAATATGAACAAAAATAATGTTTAAATGTATAGTATTCTTTTATTGTATGAAATGTTAATAACAATCTTCAAAATTACATATGTACTGTATATTGAATAGTCAAAATGATGGATCTATATATGCTTAAGTCTATTCAAGCTCGACTAGTAACAATGTACCAGTGAAGTCAGTTTATTGTGATCTTTTGAAATGAAATTTATAGATAATTATATATATATTATTCTTTGTTTATATATTATCATTTGTATTTGTATGGCTATTTCAATACATTCATCATGTCAGAAATATTGAGTTTCATTGTTGTTTGATTCAATACTAAAACTGATTAATTGAGTTAAAATCTCGTAATTCTCAAATTATTTCACGTTACTCACTTTACTAGATTTCTTTAAGAATTCGATTAAACAACAAAAGTTGCAGAGTAGAGTTGCAGGAGTATGTTTTCGAAGCACTTGATTTTAGTTGGCAACAACTAATGAGTTAAATTTCCTTTGATAATAAAATGTTTTACTAATGAATTTATTCGTTTATGTAAACTGTCAGATCGAGAAACATCCTGAGGATTTTGTGATCTGAACTCCGTAAAAAAGAATGATTTCCAAACAATGAAAAAACAACTCTTATATGTTCTCTTGTATATCTGAGCAATAAAAGCTAATTGAAGTAATTTTAGAAGTGTGATATTCGTTCAGTTATGATTATTCCAATCATACTCCTGGTATTCAGGAGAAATAAAGAGAAAATATCTGTTGTTATCATTAGGTTTTCAATACATTTTGATTTGAAGGGCACGACTACTGTAAACATTAAACTATTCTTCATTTTTAAAACATCTAAATCCTGAAGACAATGTATACGCAACATTTTGTAAAATGTACTAAGCATTTTTATAAAGGCTACACTAAAATCATGTGTAATGTTTTCAACAAAACAAAAAAGTTTGCATCGAGTTCAGGAATATAGTGTAAAAGTAAACAACAGTATGAATATACATTTATTATTAACTGAATAGGTTGTTTAGAATAGTTGTTAAAAGATGCAATTCGTGATTACTTTGATAAAGATCACTACCGTAAATTTAATTATAACAGTCTGTAAAATGGACAGACCAAATAACACATTGCACCGGGATTCAGAGGCAGATATCAAAAGAATGAATAACACTTGGGAACAAGCGGAAGAGAGAGTCCAGTACAGACTTGGTTGGAGAAGTCAAGTTAGCGACCAATGCTTCACAAGGGGGTAACAGGAGCAGGTGGGTAAGTAAGTCTGAAAATGACAATGAAACGAATGTCCATGAGGTTACTTAAGTAAAAAAATTAGTTTTCGATAATTTTTTGACTATTTACAGTCTTATTGTTACAGCTTTTCTTATACTGTAATTCCAAATATTTGAAGAGTTAACAACTGAACAGTTAGAAAAAAGACTCCCCAGATATTTAACCTGACAGTAATCGTTTCAACCGGCCAACAGTATATTTAGTGATTTCCTTTTCTCCACCCTTTATTAACTAGTGAATCCTGCTTTCCTACAAGTTTGCTTCATTCCATCAAGTCACAAGTGTCACCACTGATTACTCATCGTTCTATTTACCTTGAATATTAGACCTTTGATTAAAGTATTTGATTCAATTTATTTACCTATCAAATGATTTGTTCAAACTATCTCCATTAAAGTCAGTCATAGACTAAATAACCCATCGTCATTGACCTTCGATGCGAGAATACTTGTCAAGGTTGTAGAATTAATAAAAGTACAAATTGATTTGTGTATCCAAGTTTCGATGCATAATACACATTACAAGGCCTAATCTTGATTGGCTCTCATCTTCCGCATCGCCTTGTCGATTAACCACTTAGATCAAAAATTTTAACCAGGAATCGGATTCGTTTTCGTCCTATCTCAATGAGCAAGAAATGTGAAGTGTCTAACTGTAATTAATTTCAAATGATCAAACTCAATAATTCTATCATTTTTCTAAATTCTTAACCTACTTGTTGAAATATATCATTCTCATTGGGAAACCTGCAAGTCCTTACTTTTATTCCTTATAAATTCGTAGACATACCCTATTAGGTAATCTCAGACTAGCAAGAAACAGTTGTTTAGTACTCCAGATTATTTAATCATTATCTGACTAATCTCGTTTCATTTTTTAAACCTTTATTTACTTAAACACTGTCCCATGAAATAAAATCTTAAAAAAGCACAAGTAACAATAAGGTATGACAATGAAGTTGTGTATCAAATCATGTGCTGTTTTATTGATTGACGCTGTTTAAATGCTGTGATTTTCAACTATATTTTTACATAAAATCATCATTGGCTTACATAAACAATTCGATGGATTTTTTCATAACTTTCAGTCAATTTAAAAATCTACTCTACATAAATGGCTAGTAATAGTCGGATCGATATTATTGACTTTAAAACGGGTGATATATATATATATATATATATATATATATATATATATATATGCGGGTTTGCTTCACGGCATGAATAGTGTTGAGTTATTTTTACTGTTGTTAAGGTTGTTGAGAATAACGCATGTGTGAAAGTGTGCACACATTTAATTTATGTTACAACAACATCCATCCCGCATCGTCATTACTGTTCCACTCAGTAGATGTGTATATTAGTTAAAAATGCATATATATATATATGTATATATATATATTTGTTTTACCTGGTTTTTCGTACTAAACTTGTAAACGTGAATATTAGTAAGGAAAATAATTAAGATAAGGCATGATGTAAATAAATGAAAAAAAGAGCACACTATTCATGTTCTTAAATAGACAAATAAAAGCAATTACAAAAACTGATTATTTGTTATTGTTCAGAATGGTTTGTATCGATTTAAACGAGATTATATCTTCTGTTAATAAATAGATAAAACTTGAAATCGGGTTTGAGTTTGTTAAAGTACAGAAGACTATTTAATATGATGAACATGTTGTCTTTGTCTCCTTTATAACTTGCCAACTATGCCCAGTAAAATTACATTGCAATGATTTAAGTATAATCGAAAACCATCTGGCCTCTTTATAATATGATGAGTTAAATATGTCGAAAATGATCACAGTATTCGACTAAGTGGGTGAATTTTAAAGAGCTGTTGATGAAGACAAAACAACTGTTAAGTGGTTTCTTGTTTGATATGACTCAGTAACTGAGTATCGGTGAATTTATTTTGATATGAACCTTATTTTGTGTGTAAGGCATTCATGATATTCAGATTTTCAAACTAGGACAAGTGAATCAAGCTAAATCGATATTAAATCGCGTTATTTATTGATTTCCACCTTGTGAAATAAATTAAACAGCATTATTGATTCATTTAATCTTCTAAAAAATTAATTAATTAAAATTTTCAATCTTCAAAATAACTGTACGACTTGATTTAGAGAATGTTCAATTTAACCCCTTGATTTTTTCGTCTTGTAGAGGTCTTATTTCTCTAAAGGCGATGTATTTTTCAAGACCACAAAAAACGCTTTGTAAAATTACTGAATAAAAATAAACCCTAATGAATGATCTGAGAACATCCAGTGACTTACCGTGAGAACAAAATAGTTCCTTTAGTGGTTGTTACAAAATTTATATTCATTGAATTAAAATATGTCTACTAATTAATCACCGGTATTTCCATAAAGGCCATTTGTGTTTTATGTAAAAAATCTGAAAATTACTACACTGAACAAGAACAGACAAAGAACACACGATAAAATTTATCTACACAATTACAGATTCTAAGCTACTATTCCGGCTAAACTGAGTACCTGATGCTCCTTCTACTTCTTGCTAATCTAAAAGATAAATCTTACTCTGAAGATGTATTGGAAGAGACCAAATAAGAATGACTTAGGCAAGTAGGAGTAGCTAATAAATAAACTCATGACAGTTCGACAAGAACTTAGTATATTGAAGTGACATGTTAATGAGAAAAGAAGCTACGTTTGGAGCAGTAAAAATGAATTATACCTTGAGTGTAGAGTCTTGACCAACCAAACAAAATTTCAAATTTCCACCGGAACAAATAATAAACAATTAAGTGTATATATGTCCCACAAGTTTTTTCTTTGTTACTATTTCGAACTTATTTACTAGTTCATTGAATTGACAAATTCGTTCAAAATACTTATTCACAATAATCCAATTTGTATGCATGTAACTGAATTAATTTTTATCAACCTGTGTCGATTTGTGATAAAATCCTACCATAATTCCATATTATCGATTGGTGAATATTTCGATTTTGAAGTTAAACTCTTTAGGTAGCAGCTTCGTTGAAGCATTGCTCGTGTATCAAGGAACAACCGTATAAGCAATGCTGTCGTTAGGAAACGAGTTCTAGGTAAAGATGGCAAATCAATAGATGAAAAAGCGAAACTTCATCATTTGAGCTGGTTGGGACATGTGTTACGTATGCCTAACCACCGGATGCCTCGACGAGCTATGTTTTGTGGTGTAGGAGTAGGTTGGAAGAAAGCTAGGGGCGGTCAAACCAAAACATGGCACAAATCCATGAAGTCACTGACAAGTGGACTGAGTGATGTTGGTAGATGTAGGTTATGTGGTTGTGCTCCGCGAGACGATAGTCACCAATGGTTAGAGACCTTGAACGACATGGCTCAGAATCGTTTGCAATGGCGCAGGTGCATTTACTCTTTGTGTTCTCTCTAATTCTAACCTTCTGCATTACTCATAATCTCGATCTTTCTCTTTACAAATTTATCTTACCGAATTATACTTTCTGAATCAAATCTTCGCTCCCTAATCTTCTCCATTGCTGCTAATAATTCTGCTATTACTATCACTATTGGATTTGAACCGACAGTTACGTCTCGGTGCTGACGTGGCATGGCAACCTGAACTAATGTACTTATGTACGATGTCCTGCATCTCTCTGTCTGCTTCGCTGAAATTTCTGAAGTTGATTCTGGTACCTATTTATAGCTGTCACAGGATCTTTTTAAATTAATACATTTCAAGTTGGTGAAAACAACTTTCCCAGCTAATCATTTTCTCCGTACATCCTAAATGTCTATGAGGGAATTAGTGCTTAATTTAGCTGAAGAAATGATTCGATTAGTGGTTCAGGGAAAAAAACAGCTGAAATCTTAGAATTCACTAGCAAAATGTAACTCAGAGATAACAAGACTAATAAGATAAAAATGAAATAGGACTGTTGATTTCAGTCTAATATTTAAAATTATGGACGAATTGCAGTTGAAACAAGACAGATTCATTGATTTGTGTATATATGTGAATAATT